TTGTAATCTTGAATTTTAAATAATATGCATCAATATACAGTACTTTATGCATAACAAAAATATATCGACATTCGTATCAAATTAACTATTTAAAATTCATCATTTTTTCTGTAATTTTTTAATTCATTTTTATATTATAATTTAATTTAGGTACAATGACGAAGTAATTTATATTTTTGGTTTAATAATATAATTTTCTTATAAAGATAATAATTAATTGTTTTTTTGGAACTCGGTAATTATTCTAATTATGTTTTAGATTTTTTATATTTTAAAATAAGATATTTATCATCTATTTGATTATGTTTATCCGCAATTAGCTATACGAATTCAAACATCGAGCTTTAATAAGTTATATTTTTGCATAATTTACTTGTAATCTTGAATTTTAAGTAAACATTGATTTTATGTAGTTTTGAGAAAATGATAATGTTTTTATTTTTGAATAAAATATAAATTTAAAAATATCATAAAATTTTGAAAAAAAAATATCGATATCAGTATTAAATTAATCTTTTTAAADGTTCTTGTGTTTTGGTGTAATTTCCTTAATTAGATTTTTTTAATTATAATTTAATTTAGGTTTAGTAACAAAGAAATTTAATTTATGTTTAATAATATAATTTTTTATAAAGATAATAACTAAGTATTCTGTTAGAACTCAATGATTATCCTAATTATATTTTAAATTTTTTACATTTTAAATGAGATGTTTATCCAATATTTGATTATGTTTATCTGCAGTTAGTTACACAAATTCAAATATGGAGCTTTAATAAGTTGTACTTATGCACAATTTATTTGTAATCTTAAATTTTAAGTAATATGCATCAATAAACAGTACTTCGTGCATAAAAAATGGTTTTTAWGAGTTTTTGTCAAATGTTTTATAATATAGTAGAGATATTTAGTTTTCATGTCGTAGGTTCAACTTTTATGGTCCAATTAAAAAAATTATGTCTAATACATTATGTTATGTTTTTAGTTTTCATTTTTACAATTGATTGCGCTTTCTAAATTGATAAAATCATGAAATCCATCAATAATCAAATCTAAATTTCTACTCCGTTCAACATGCTCAAAGTTTATCCAAAATTCAACTACTGTTTGTTGATTTGTTTAATTTTTTTCAAGCTCAAATGTTTTTTTAATTCTATATATAAACGTTTCTTTTATTATTCAGTATACTATTTCTTAATGATCTTTTGTTAGTAGAGATTTTATTTTGGATATAGATTTTATGTTTTTTAGCTCAAAGCCTATAGGAGGCAAAAACCACCTAAACCGGTTAGACCAGACCGTTTTTTTGTAGTCCCCTTTGACCGGTTTAGCCACTATCTACCAAACCGCTAGATTTGAAAATTCCCTAAACTGTCATTGTGGTTTTTCCATTATGGTTTGTGGGGTTAAACCGCCTAAACCGGACACGAATACCCCTATTTGTGATGCTTATGGCATTTAGGAACTAATTGAGATCTAAAGTGAAGCAATTCAAAAGTATATATGGTGTGTTATCTACATGCATATCATTTTGTTAAGACACCTTATCCAAAAAGGCTCTTGTGGCTAACAAGGCCAAGGCCAACTATGCTCAAAAATCAATTATGGATAAGATACGTATGGATAGCTTAAGGCTGAAAATCGGAGCTAAACATCACATGATTCACATGTGAATAAAAATAAAAGTGAATGATCCATTATTGTGAATATGAATAAAAATAGTACAAACCAAATTCAACAAATACCCAGCTATTAATAACGACAACAAATAATAATGAGATGGTGGGGTTCATGAGGTCCTCAAGTCAGATTTGAGCATATTAAGATTCAATGGTTTATTATAGTTATATACGATACCTAGGACTTAAATAAATATTAAAAAGAAATATAAAAATTAAAAACCCTAAATAAAGAATCTTTTTGTTCCCATAAACAGAGAGTCGAACACGGATTATTTTAAAATTGAAGAAGTAGTGAGTAGAGAATTAAAAATCACAGTTTTACACTCTTAATATCATTTTCTTATAAGTTCGATTATTTGATATAAATAGTTATTCTTTAGTTTCTAATTTATTTACTTCATTACGATTCTAAATCATTTTACGAGATTATTCGAAATACTAAATTATTCTACGAGATATAAACAGTTCTTCTTAGGTTTCTAATTATACATGTGTGTGTATATATATATATATATATATATAGAGAGAGAGAGAGAGAGAGAGAGAAAGAAGCAATCAAATGCAAACCACTCATATTTGTATAAACCGTACAAACCACCCTCATCCGTCAATTTTATTGTTTAATCTTATAAAAAAATTCATTAAATTGTTTCATATAATATTTTTTTTATAAAGTTATTTCATATATGGTTATGAAATTGTTTCAAAAAATATTTATGAAATTTTATTGAAACTGTTTCATGTATTTTTCTAAAACTAATATAATAAAGATGATAATATCCATGATTAACACTCTCCACAATAAAAATAATTAATCAACCTCTCATAACTATAAAAAAAAAATGAACAAAATGAAAAATTATGATTGCAGTTGAATAAGGTTTGTACGGTTTGTACAAATAATGTGGTTTGCAAAATAAACCTCCTCTATATAGATATACGTATTTATATATAAACATATGCCACCTTAGGGCATGGCTTGAAAAACGATATGACCTTGCTCGTAAGGCTTAAAGCTTGAACTTACGCACAATATATTTGTAATAAGTTGTACTTACACACAATATATTTGTAATCTTGAGTTTTAAGTAATATGCATTAATAAACAGTATTTTAAGCATAAAAAATAGTTTTTAAGAGTTTTTGTCAAATGCTTTATAATATAGTATAGATTTTTTTTTATAATTTAATTTAAGTTTAATAATGAACCAATTTATTTTTGGTTTAATAATATAACATTTTATAAAGATCATAATTAAGTATTCTGTTAGAACTCAATAATTATCCTAATTATATTTTATATTTTTTATATTTAAAATGAGATGTTTATCCTGTATTTGATTGTATTTATCTGCAGTTAGTTACACGAATTCAGATATGGGATGAAATCGGATAGGGATGAAATCGTTTAGTGATGAATGGATTTAAAAGTTTTTAAGAGTTTTAGCCAAATGTTTTATAAGATAGTATATATATATATATATATATATATATATATATATATATATTGATTGCAAAAGCTCCAAATTCGATCTGACATTGAAGGGCAACGAGTGGTGTTCCAGAACACGATATTAGTTAGAGATGGCACGTATTAAAATTATGATTATTAAGTAGAATCATCTTTTAATGAAGAACGATGAAATGTATAAAGATAAAATCGACTTTATCGTTATTCTTAYTTTGTAGAACCAACTTTCTAAAACATATTATTTTGGATAATTAACCAACTCTACTCTTATTACTATAACACGTTTATATTTTCTTTTAAATTAATATAGCTTATTTATGTTAAGTTTCTATCAAATTTCTACAAGTACACAYTACAACATAATTGGATTTATAGGACACCCTCAATCTCTAAGCGTCTCAGGTCGTCTTATAAGACTTAATTTATAGGACCAAAATATAAAGCGTCCTATATAAAAGTGTTGTAATAAGTTTATATGACGCTTTTGGGCATCTTAACAAGCTTTTTATAATATTTTTAATACAAAGTGTCATATTAGCAACTTTATAGGACACTTTTGATAAAGTATCTTATAAACTCATTTTTTTATAGGACAGTTGTTTTTATAGAACAATTTTTCAAATAGTATCATATAAAGTTGATAATGAGACGTTTTATATTAAAAATGTTCTAAAAAACTTATTACAACATCATATAAACTTATTACAACACCTTTAGATAAGACTCTTTATTTTTTTGGTCCTATAAACCAAGTCTTATAAATAAGTCTATTAAACCCGATTTTGTTACAATGACAAGAGTAAAATGAAACAACTATAATACTTTTTCAAATATATATTGTTGCAATCATTTGACAAATTAATATGTATCTTGTGATAAAACGACTTTTTTTTTTTATCAACCTGGATATCCAACCCACTATGCGAACCAACCACTTTCTATAAATAATCTTCAAACCCCTCATTATGTTCATCACATCTCATTTGTAATACATAGATACAAATCCCTTATAGAACATGTCAGCTGAACAAGAGGAAGYTGTTCGTCCCCTTCGGCAAATTCCTCCATGTGTGTGGGGAGATCAATTTGCGAACTACGACAAGGTATGTAAATTAGTAGAAATTATATAATGTTAATGGCAATTATATATA